TTTCAGGATAGTCAATGTTTTTTTTTTTTTGTGAAGGGACTGTACAACCTGTCCTGAAATAGTCAGTGTTGCAACCCTTCTCAAGTGGTTCTCCATGGATCCAACCATGTTAGACAACTTTCATCCTCTGTCCAGTATTTTTGGAGCAATGTATTGAGAGCATGGTTGGTGGGTCAATCATCAGTAACTGAGTTTAAACATTTTGGGGATAAACATATGTCCATCATCTGAATTTTTTTTTGAAAAAAATGAAATAAAATATTAAATAAATAAGAAAGGGCAGACTAGATGCAGCACTAGGTCTTTTTCTGCCATCAGCTTTCTGTTTCTATCTTTTTATTTCATAATCATAGGGTTGCTCTTGAAAACCAACTGGAATTTATAAAATGGTCCAGAATGCAAAGGCATGCACAGTGTTGAGTTTCCATGTGTTCTTCCATAAGACACCCCTGCTGTGCAGGCTCCACAGAATCCCAGTTTCTTTGCAGGTGCAATTAAATTCACCTTTCAAACGCTCCATGAGACAGTACCAGGGTATCTGCAGGGCTTCCTCTGCTTGAGGATATCTGCTTGTCCCTCCAGAGCAGATATAATTGGCATGCAAACGATCTATTCCCTAAAAGATTCCCACTTTATGGATCATCAGAAGCCTGCCTTTTCTGCTGCAGTTCTTGCCCTATAGGACTTATTGAATAGGCCCCCCATCCTCTTAAACGTCTGGAGACTTGCTACTTCTTCCAACCATTTGGGATAGGATAAGGTCAGTGCAGGATAAGAATCTGGTGGATTAACTCAGAGAAGGGAGTTTGCACCACTAGATAGCTCTTCTTTTAATTTTATGTTGTTGTTGTTCTTTTTATAGTTGTATGTATTAGGGATTTTTGTTCTTGTTGTAATGTAAGTATATTCCATTTACTAAGACATTTCTGTCTCTCTATATCACATTTTATCCAAAGTTTTTCTTCAAATTTGAAAGACTTTAAAAGAAATATTACTTTCTTTTCTCAGACACCATAAAATGCACCAAGTGCCCAGATGATCAATATCCAACTGAGAACCGAGTCCAGTGTATCCCCAAAAGAATAACCTTCCTGTCATATGAAGAACATCTCAGCATCATCCTCATCTCCTTTGCTCTACTCTTGTTCCTAATCACAGGCTTTGTTTTAATCATATTCATTAAATATCTTGAAACTCCTATTGTCAAAGCCAACAACCGGGACCTCTCTTACATCCTCCTGGTCTCCCTTCTGCTTTGCTTCTTATCCTCCTTGTTCTTCGTTGGCCGACCAAGGAAAGCCACCTGCCTTCTCCGACAAACAGTGTTCAGCATTATCTTCTCTGTAGCTGTGTCATCTGTGTTGGCTAAAACAATCACAGTAGTGCTGGCATTCCTAGCCTCAAAACCAGGCAATAAAGTGACAAGATGGTTGGGGAAGAGCTTGGCCAACTCCATCATCCTTTCTTGTTCTGCTGTCCAAATTCTCATCTGTGCCATGTGGTTGGGAGTTTCTCCTCCATTTCCTGACTCTGATCTGCACTCCCAGCCTGAAGAGATTATCCTTCAATGCAATGAAGGCTCTGTCACCATGTTTTATGTTGTTCTTGGCTACATGGGCTTCCTGGCTGCAATTTGCTTCACTGTGGCTTTCCTGGCCAGGAACCTGCCTGGAGCTTTCAATGAAGCCAAGCTGATCACCTTCAGCATGCTGGTCTTCTGCAGTGTCTGGGTTTCCTTCCTCCCCACCTACCTGAGCACTAAAGGAAAATACATGGTGGCCGTGCAGGTCTTCTCCATCTTGGCCTCTGGTGCTGGACTGTTGAGCTGCATCTTCTTCCCCAAGTGCTACATTATCATCCTGAGACCACATCTAAACACTAAGGAACATCTAATGGCAAAAGCAGGGGAATGATTGTGAAATTGTTTCTTAGGCTGGTAACTTCTAATTATCCATTATTATTGGTTATATATTCTTCCTTTGGATTTGCTTGACAACTTATGTTTATTAAAACTGAAGGAAATAAATATGTGAAGTTTGTTAGTTAAATGAAAATTCAAGATAATCTTCAAATACATTAATAAATAAATAATAAACAAACAAAAGAAAGAATGAATAAATATTATGTTTTTTAAACTATTGGTTTTCTTCCTTTTCCTCAGCACACATGTCAACCAATATTTGGCTTAAGCAACTCTTCAAGACAAGAGATATATGATTCATTTCCTGGGGTTTATAGTGGTGTAAGCTTGGCAGGTATCTTCAAAGATAATTACTGAGGTCTGAATCTCATCTCTTTCATGGTTCTTTATGAATTGGTATTTCCATTCCCCAAGTTATGGGTTCTAATGGGGAGAAAAGAGTAAGTGAAGATGACATGGTGTTGCAATTCTCTCACCGGTTTTGGTGATCCTTCTCTTTCTCCTGAGTGCTTTTTCTCAGCAATCTTCCTTCATTTCAGCTCTAGATCAAGTTCCATTTTCTTCATGGCTTCCTCTCTCACAGCCTCCAGTTCCAGCTTCTCTGGGCTGCGGTACTGAACAGACTTTCTGACTTCTGGTGAGGAATTTCTAGTAGCAGACATTTATTTATAGCCTGTAACTTCCTGACAGGTTTGGCATATTGGTATTCAAGTCAATTGGACTGAAGAGGAGTGAAGATAAAATTCATCCTGGTCTGGTTTGGGGAATCAGTAGCTCAACCAAGCTGAAGCAGGTACAAGAAGGCCATGGGTCAACTCCCCGATTGAAAGGAAAATCAACTTTTCTAAAGGTGTCAAAAGAAAATACTGTAAGAATAGAATAGAATAGAATAGAATAGAATAATATAGGATAGGATAGGATAGGAAGGGACCTTGGAGGTCTTCTAGTCCAGCCCCTTGCTTGAGTAGGAGAACCTATACCATTTCACACAAGCAGCTGTCTAGTCTCCTCTTAAAAACCTCCAGTGATGGAGTGCCCACAATTTCTGGAGGCAGGCTATTCCACTGGTTAATTGTCCTCACTGTCCGGAAGTTTATCCTTAGTTCCAGGTTGCTTTTCTCTTTGATCAGTTTCTAACTGTTGTTTCTTGCCTGCCCTCTGGTGCTTTGGAGAATAATTTGACCTCACCCCCTCTTCCTTGTGGCAGTCCCTCAAATACTGGAATGCTGCTATCATGTCTCCCCTATTTCTTCTTCTT